GCTTAGTTAAAATGACTTTGATGTGGCCAATTATGTGTCTTTGCCATAGACTGTGGAGTATAGGTCCATTGGTTCATCTTGAAACCAAGTGGACCAACCATTCAGGATTAGCTCAATGGAGTAGCTCAATACTGAGTGTTAAGCCTAGATATCTCATTTACCTTTGGGCCCATTTTATTTGATGAGAAAAATGTGTATTTATGATTAAATATCTTTCATAGATGTTTTGAGAATTTTTTTGGAATTTTTCTAACACTGAGACTAGCATTTTCAAATTTGTTTAACTTAAATTAACTTTAAGGACATCCCATGGGGATGCGATGTGGCACCCCCATGCCCCCATCGGGGGCTGACAGGGTGATGACGTCAAATCATCACGTGAGGGACCTTGATGGCATTAAGGCATTTTGATGTATAGTTTTGTATTTGAATTTCATATGGTTTTGATTTATTTGGTCACATGTTATTTTCACTCACATGTGTCCCGCTTTGGCATGTGTGAAGCCAAAGTATTTTTGAAATAATTTGAATTTAAAATATCTTATCCACATGGGATATTTAGCATGTGGGAAAATATCATGTGTGTTTTTCCCATTGGTGTGATCCATGTGAAGAGTATGGGTTGTTTAAATCTCATTGGATGTATGTCATAAGATATTTTTTCATATGTTGGTTGTATCAATTACTAAAGTGGACATGCCCTTGTCCATAAAGCACTCTCATGATTTTATTAAAACCTAAGGGCTATCTTGAAATCTCTACAATGGACTAAATTGGAAATTTTCTGTGGGACATGGGCCAAAAGGTAAAAGGCTAAACCTAGGGTTTTAAGGGGTGGTAAAGGTGTCAAATTGCACCCCTACATCTTGGTGGTTGGATTGGGATAAGTGGCTAGGATTATGGCCTCTCATATGCCATAGTTTTGGAACACCGAGGGTTAAAATCAATTCAAATCATACCACTTAATATAAATACCACTTAAAGGTTCAACTTGCGATACCTTGAGAACATTAATTTCAAACTTAGAGAGAGAAAGAGGGAGACCATCTTGAGCCTCAAGAACCAGCCCCTTTTGAAATCCATTTTCCACCTTAGAGCTAGAGTTTGAATTTTGATGGTGTGCTTGTCTTCCTCTTGAAGATCAAAGTGGTTTATCACCATTAACAAGGTAATCCTTTCCATCAAGTTTGGTTTTCATTACATCCTATTTTCTTCATCAAAGGACTTCCGTAAATTTCATTTTACAAAAGTTATTACTTCTTTTGATGCTTAGTTTCATTGATCTTTGTGCTCAAATTGAATTGTATAATCCATACCTTGAATATTTATACTGTAGTTTGAATCTTCTTTCATCTACACCTGTAGTTTTCTTCATCCGAATTTTCGGAGTATCCTGGTGAGGTCATACATCTGTTCAGTGGTTTTAATTTTCATATTTGAGAAACCAAATAGGGTTCGTGAATGTCATTTCTTATGAAGGAAAGTGTGGGTTGTAGTGAGCACATAGTTTAAGCTCTATGAATTGGATCTCTCTCAAATCATCTTGATATTTGATTCTCATGATTTATCTCTCATATTAAACTTATAAAAATGGTAGAAATCTGATTTTGAACTTCCCAAAGTGAATGGATCTCCTTGAGTATCAAAACCATCCATGCTCTAGTCTATGGGACAAGATTAAGTCCATCTTGTGACCTGGGCACAAAGGGTTCAAAATATTGGCTTTCCCATACTTATTTGGCACTCTACTCACTGTTGTTATCTTTGTGAATGATATGAAGTTGTATTGAAGTTATGTTATGTATTTGATGGTGACAAGAGCACAAGTATAGTCCATGTAATATTGTCATTGAAAAGTGACATAGTTTGATTTTTTTTTTAAGTGATGCTTATGAACTTGTAATTGGGACTCTATAGAGTTGTAGTCTTCTTTTTATTGTTGATATTTGAATCTTGTGGTCTTCAATTGTTGATTTAAGTGGCTGTAATTGTAATAGTGCACTTGCATGTGCAAAAGTGCATTTTGAAATTTTAAAGTTATGTATTGTGGTTGTTGCCTTTGAAAGCACCTAAAACTCTTTATGAAAATATTTCTCTTTCTAAAATAGGCTCTAATGGGGTTTAGGTTTCAAATGAACTTAAAACCCACAATTTTCCACCTTTTTATATTAGAAAAAGACCTAGAAATGCCCCTTTGCCCTTGGGCGGCTGCCCAGGGCTGGGTGCTTGCCAAGTTGGGTTCTCTAGTGCCTAGGCGGCCGCCTAGGCCTGAGCGAGGTGGTCAAGCTCTTTGGACCGCCTAAGTGGCCACCTAGGCGCTGGGCGGTCCACGTTTATGCACATTGCAAGGAACAATTTATTGAAAG